CTGGTTAGGGCTGCCCCTGCTTCATTCCCAGTAGTCTGCTTTGTACCACTTCCACATGCGCTTACAGCACTGGGGGAGGGAAAGCCCCAATGTCCTTGAAAAGCATAACTGTGGCTTTTCTCCTTCCCCACCTCTTTCTAATTTATGTATGACCTCACCTTCCCATCTCAGTGCAGCCGAGTTTGTAACTGGATAAAAACTTCTGGCTTCACCTGTAACTAGACCCTTTTCCCAAAGGCCCTACAGGCCCAGCCAGGTTAGTGCTGTCTGGGGTGGCTCTCGGCAGCAGCTCCCTCTTCAACGCTGCAAAACTTGTTTGTGTTTTGCGTTTTCAGCAGTTCTGCAACAGCCCTGAGGAGCAGACGCACAGGCGTTACAGCCAAAATTCTCTCAGCCAGCAGCAGCGAGGAGTAGGCTCTTGGTATCTGGCTCTGAGAAAAGCCAGCTCTTTGCTCTCGGAGCTCTGGGGCGGCCTTTGTGCGTAACCGTGCCGTTTGCCCCACAGCACCGCTGTGTTACTGACCCCTCTCTGGACCTGTGCAGCAGGGAAGCTACTGGAAAGCTTGTGTGACAGCCTGTGCACCCTTAAAGCATGACTTTAGGTACTAACAAAAGAGAACTCTAGAGTATCTTCAGATGTTCCTGGGCTCAGGAACCTGACCGGTGTGCTGGACCTAGAGCAGTGGGTTTTGACCAGCTCCACCCTTCTTGTGATTTGATGGTGTGCCATGTAAGGTGGCAGGGGTGCAGCAGGGCAAGTTAGCACCAAGTACGCAGGTGTTGGCCAGGTCAGCTGTTGGCCAGAGGCCAGCGCTTGCAGGCAGCTTGTTAATGAGGTGCGTGGTGCGTGATCCAGGCATTCCCAAAAGCAGGTTCTAGTCACTGGCGCAGCAGCAGGGCTCCCCCAGGACAGTCAGTTCCTTGATGGTGCCTGCCCCTATCCTGTGCTGACGGGCCACAGGGCATTTGGTACGTCTGGTCTGTAAGTTCCCCAGGTGTGTTCTCTGTCAGCTGAGGTGTCATTGCTGTTCTCCCCCATAGGTCAGACGCGGTGCCTGTACAGGGGCAATTTCACTCTGCTCTGGAGAAGCTGCCGGCGTTTAGAGCTGGTAAATGAAGGAGGCGTGATGTTGAAGAGGCACAGTCTGAAAGTGCTGACGGTACGGGAAAGCAGCTGTATGAGAAGCAGCTAGATGAAGAAAGGGGAAACAGTGCAGCAGGCATGGCCTAAGTGTGACTGACTGCGCTGGGTCACTGGGGATTCAGCTGGACCTCAGCCCACGAGGTCAGTGAAGACGAGCACTGAACAGTAACTCTGCGTTCCCAACGTCCTTGCTTCCTTGCAGCAAGTGGCCCTAGAGCCCCTGTTCTAGCTGAGTGGCTGCAAGGAGAAATAAGTGTAAAATAATACCAGTTTCTCCTACACAATCATAGATCGAGCCTTCAGCCATCATCAAAGTGGTGACAGGGACTGAAATCAAGCTAGAAAAGTTGTCTCTGGCTCGTAGAAGCCATCCATAATTTACAGCACAGTCAGAGTCACTAGAAGGGTTTTCCAGTAGAAATACCCCTGGTGAATGCACTGCCTGGCTCCGTGTCTGTTAATCCTTAGGTGTGGGAGAGCAGCAAGGAGAAATTCAAGACTTGAAGACTTTGCCCCAACATGCAGTTGCCCTCTAGCGACCTTCAAAGGGATTATTTATACTGCCGGGACTGGTGAGCACCCGCTGCACCTGAGCCGTGTCTAACTGGTGCGTGCAAACCCTGCTGGTTTATGCTTCTGTGTCTTGTGACTGGAAGAAAATACTTTAAATGAATTCACATTTGCAGAAAAAAAAAAAAAAAAAAAAAAAGAAAGTGGGGACTGGGGGTCCTTTGAAAAAAAAAATCAGGTTTTATTTGTCCTCTCTGCTCACTTACGTGCAATAGAATCTAAATAAATGGCACTGCAGGAAAACAACCCTTTCCCTCTGGCGTACTCATCCGTAGAACAAGGAGGCGGCCCATAGAGGCTGCAGTCTTAATCCTCTCCCTCTCTTCATGAGTTTAGAGATTTTTCTTTTGGCTGTTGGATCTTCCAAAAGTTAACGTCTTGCCAAAGATAACTAATGGAGGATACGTGCTACTGCTAAAGCTTCCTGGTGAGGTTTTCTGTGTCTGCTGTTCACTTCCTCCTTGTTGCCCAAAATGTGTAGAGATTAAAGGCTGCTACTGCCACTTCAGGCACTTTCTTTCCTGCTGGGTAGTTATCAGTATAGTAAAAGCAGCTTTGGGAACAGAGGTTGTTTGGGTTTTGGTGTGTGTGGTTTTGATGGGGTTTTTTTTAATAGAAATCAGTCTCAGGCACTGCAGCTCTTCTGTCCTTTGTTTTACACCTGCATCCATAAGCGGTGGAGTGAGCAGGCTGCGGGGCGTGATGGAGGGTTTTTTCCTGACCTTTGTTTTTACATCTACAGAGACAGCGACCCCAGCCTGAGGGAGGGCCCTTTGTGCGCAGGTAGGGCCCGTGTCCTCCCGTCTGGCTCCGCTCCTGCTGAAGTGGGGAAGCGTGCGCTGCCGCAAGGATGGCCTCAGCACAGCCTGTGCCCAGGCAGCTCAGTCCAGCTGTGGCCCACACCTGGAACCCGCCAACAGCTGCTCAGAAGCCTGGACCAGGGCCCAGCGCTCACGCCTCTCAGTGCCGCTAGCCGGCACCGGTCACCCCGTGCCAGGTAGTGACAGAGCTGCCAAACAGGCAGCGGCTGGGACGCGCCCAAGGTGAACTGCTGACCTGACTGACTAGCAAAGTCCTTTTGCTGCTACCAAACCAAAACACCACTCCAGTTTAGGAAAAGACCTGTGCTCCCTTACAAGGACAGGCTGCCTCTCCCTCCTGCCCTCACGGCCATCACTTACAAACCCAGATACGGCCTTTCCACGCGCCGCACTGCGTCCACAGATTCAGCACATTTTAGCAAGAGGGTCAGTTACTCATTGGTGAGGAAAACTTCCATCGTTAGGGTCATTCAAAGGGCCATGACTCAATCACTGTTGTGCACCATTACAAGGCACTTTGGGGCAGGTCTTGCTCTAGTCAGCTGCCTCAGCTACGGTAGGCCTTCAGCAATTGACCTGCTATCACCAGTCTTTGGATCTCACTGGTCCCCTCATAGATCTCAGTGATACGAGCGTCGCGGTAGTGGCGTTCTGCTGGCATCTCTGTCACGTAGCCCATCCCACCCAAGATCTGGATGGCCTGAAACAAAGATAGCAGGGTCAAGGAATTTGTTTTCTACAGAACACAGCCACCTTAAAAGGAGCTAGCACAACGGGGCGGGGGACACGACAGACATGGGGGGGTGCCTGCAGCCCCTTTGCAATCAGAGGACTAAACACAGGATTTAGGTAAGAGCAATACTGATGTCCTAGACAGTGAATGAATCCCTTCAGAGGTATTTGTTAGGGAGCCAGGGTCAGCTCAGGCACTTTTAAGGACAGAGAAAAATAAATGTGGACACCAGAAGTCCTGCTCCATTTGCTCGCTATGTTGCACACTTCTTACTAGTAGTCCCGACTGCTGCACCCATGCTCCCTTCCCCCATCGCTCATCCCACTCAAAACTTGGCGCTGCCCTGGACAGCAGCAGGCACAAGAAGACTTTACCCATTCACCTGCCACAGGCCAGCATAAATCCCTGCACACCCCCCCGCCCCTCCAGTCCAGGAAGAGGGCTGTGCTAACCAGCTTCAGCCATAGGGGGTGGTTGGTTTGTTTTTGTTAAAAAAGATGTAGTAAATTCCATCCCACCTTCCCCAAGCACTTGTGCGACAACACAAGCTCCCTTTCAGCACAGTCACCTGATGAGCGATGGCCGTTGCAGCTTCCGACGCAGCCAGTTTGGCCATTGCCGCTTCCTTTGGGGAAGAGAACAACGCTGAGGGTGCAGCTACCACAACAGGAACAGCTCACGTGCCCGAGGAGCTCGACCGCTCACAGACCAGCTGTGCGGATGCACAGGCCTGACCGCCGGTGCCAGCTGCCAGCG